GTGTCGGAGAAACAAACGTGGACAGCCAATGTTCTTCGTTCCTTTTTTTAATAAAAAAGTTTTGTAAATTATGAGATAAATTTCACCGATCAGGTCATTATAGCTGCGAGGTTTTATGTCGATAAGGTTCTGATATCCTGTAGCGTGTCGGGAATTTGGAATGAATATGCGACACCTTATGTGCGAAGTCTTTTCTTTAGGTAAGTCTAAGACAGTGTTTCCTAATGTGGGCCCCACGCCTCACTATTTGATTGTTAAGGGGGGCAATTCGAAAATGGATTCTTTATTAAAATTATATAGAACTGCTGAATTATATAGAAAGCTGTGCCCGCGGTTTCATGCTCGTCAAATTTATAGCCTACATGTTACCCTAATGTATGTATCACTGTAAAGTTTCATCAAAATCCGTTCAGTTGTTTTTGCGTGAAAGAGTAACAAACATCCATCCATACTCACAAACTTTCGCGTTTATAATAATAATAATAAGATGTAGGTAAAATTCAATTTTTCATTGTATGTTTTGAAAATTTACTTATTGTTTCATTAACAATTTCCTAGTGATCTCTTCTTAAAAGATATTATTTAAGTTTCTTATTTCAACAACTCAGTTTTTTAAGGTTATAAATTAAGTATGTTTATAGGGATAAGAATTAAATATGGCACTAAAAAGGTTGGGAAACACTGGTCTAAGATGTCAGTTGTATTACAGAAAAAATTGGTAAAGTATTTGTACATCATCATCACGTAAATATAAGTCATTATACCATAGACATGGTCAGTGCCTTGTCTATGGTATAGTGGAAAACATAAATGTAGACAGTTTTACATCTATGTTTTTCATTTTAATATATAGACATAGATACATCTTTAATGTCCAAATTCGAAGCAGAGATCGCTACCATTGTGGTCTGTGGAACAAACTTAGCACTGGTGATACGTACGGTCCCTTGTTCGTAATATAGGGATCGCTATATCTGAGAAATCCTCACCTCGATGGTCTAGCGGTTTAGCACACCGCCTTACTTCTGATGGTCGCGGGTTCAATTCCTCGCACGGTACAAACATTTATATTCATGAATGAGTATTTGTATTAGGCTGGAGGTTTTTTTTCTCTTTATTGTGACACATACAGTTATGAAAAAAAACTTATTAATACATTATTACTAAAAAACTAAACACTGAGTGTCGAACTTCGTTGACATTTAATAATATAATTGTGTAAGACGTATTATATATTATGAGAAGTATTATATGCATACGTAAGTAGTATATTTTTGTATATATTATGTAGGTATGTATTTATAAAAATGTAGTAATGTTTTTGTATCTATCATCCCATAGAAGAAACTGCTTAGAAACTGCTAAGTTTGGTAGTTATTAATGTGCCTAACATAAGTATTAAACACAAGTATTTCTAAGACGTTAATAAAATAAAATTTGTTTCCATTGTTAGCAGATTAAAGCTTATTCCAAAGAAAATAGAGTTTTATGCGAATTTGTCCCTCGGCCAGAGCCTAATCTGTCTAATGGGTGGATTTGGATATCATAGTATGACATTGCTCCTATTGAAGTAAAATTGCTTTGATCTCTAAGGATTTAAGGGTCCAGATTTAAGTTAGGTATAATTTATTTTTATTAGTCTAATGCATTAGTTAGTTTAATAATAATAATCCTTATTATTGTTGTAGAAATGTGTAATAAAAAATAAAACTATTTATAACGGGATAAATGTTTTAATGGTAAGATGGTAGACAGTAAGTGACATATTATATAATTTTGTTTTTATAGTTTTGATTCAAAAATACAAAAAATAAATTTTAAATATATTAATATTATAAGAGTTTCTCAACAATTATATAAAAAAAATATTTAGAAAACGAACTTAATATAAAAGTATGCGGTCAGTAGGCGGCCTTGTCGCTTAAGGCAAGTTAAGTTAGTTTATTTGACGTAATTTTTTTATAAGTCAAAGTCAAAATTATGTAATTATAATCCGTTCGATGACTTTTTTGGTCTATCTCTGGTAATTGCAATAGTTCGAAAAAAAGGTTTATCTAGAAAATCTAATACTGATATGTAGGTAGTTTGGTTGAAGTTGTACGTGAACTCGTTACACCTGTAAAACACTTTGAAAACTTTCTAGACAGTTATTATAAACCAAAGGTTTTCAGAGATCAAAGAATATCTGAATTTACTTAAAAATAAAAGAGATTACTCTTTGTGGCGGGACCTTTCAAGTTTTTTCTGTTAAAATAATATATTTTATTTTAGAAAATAACCATGATTCCTAATGTTTAAAAAACAAAGTTTGATTCTGTTTTGAAATCAGGAGAACATCATGGAGCCACATTGTTTTTTCATTGCCACAATAAGTATTATTGTAAAGTACTTTTCGGAAAAATTATATGGAGTTTATAACTTTATTTTTTGTAAACCGATTGGAAAAAAAAATCAACAAATACCAAAGTTTTCTACAATATATTAGTGAAAATATCTTTCAAATAAATTATTTCTGAGATTACTATTTTCCTACATAGGTAAATAGACAGAAAAAAATGAACCGATCGGTAGACTATATGTATTTATATCTAAATGATAAAAACATACAACACAACACAGCCAACAAGTAAGAATGTATCAAAAAGACGTTCGAAGAATAGTTTTAAAAATATAAATTTAAAAATAATAAAAATTACAAAAGTTTCTACGAGTATAGTCGCTACACTTTATTTATATCGGTATGTACATAACGCGCACAATTTCTTTTATATTTAATGCATATACAATAGTTATTGCGAATGTTATTCAGTTTAATAATAACTCTTTTATTCATTACTTTTATCATCAATAATTATAGTTCAATGATTACTCAGACGTAACAGTAGCAATTTAAAACTTCAAAGTTAGTATTCTTAGTTATTAATAATACAGTGTCTGTCCAAGAGGCTAATTAGCTTTAGTTTTAGAATTAGTTTATACGGTTTTAAATTGAAATATTGAGAGACTTTCATTCAAGTAATTTTAAATTTATTATTTCTCGAAATTTCAGTAAGTCAGCTCTGGAAAGCGTAAACAGATTCGAAATAACTATTGCTGAAGAATGATTTTAGAAATAGAAAGCAAATTAGAGTTCGTGTCTCGTAAACTAAATAAGAATTGAAGTTGTGCTCCGACCTTTAGATTGGAAGGTTATTGAATAAGTATATATCTTTTTTTTATTTAATTGGAGAGGTTAATCTGGCGGCACCCCTGATCGTAAGAGAAAAACGAATGAGAGGGGAAAGGGATTGTTAGCAATGTGAAATAATTACTTTATTACTAGCAATGTACCAAGTCAGGTTGAACTCCACGTGGTCCCCCTTGGAAACCATGTGATGTGATAAATTCATCTGTTAGCCTTATCTCGATGGGCTAACTGATCAGACCTCATATTAATGTTATTATCCTCCACTGGTACCCCGTCAGCGTAGACCGTTAGTGCAGGCGGGTGCACCATTCCATTATCCACTAAAAAAGAATGAACTGAACCGCCTGAATGAACAGCATCACGGATTTCATGTTATTATCTTTATAGTTTAGTTGTGTATTGTCGGCTGAATTAGGCGAGATTGATGTAAACGATTTTGTCTACAGTAATTTTTATTTAGTTTGCCTCTGGTCTCGTATGATATAGGCAACATTTTAGAGATTATATTTAGAGTCATAATATGAATGAAAAGGGTATAAAATAAAAAGCAAGTATCAAAAACACTGAATTCTATATTCAATAGTCTAGAAACAACATTCAAAGTGGCCTAATATTGAAATAACTGTCTAAATTTGAAAATATTTTTAACAACAATGATCCTATAAAAGTAACATGACATTCATAGCTTCGTTGTACAGAAATTAAATTATTAGTAATAAATAAAAGGGTTAGAAGTAAATTATACAAACTTACAGTGATATGTGTAATATAGGTAGATATACTCCATTATAAATAATTAAGATTGAAATGTAATATGTATTTCCTTCTTAAACATTCCAAGTCATTAAAACATAATCATTTTTATAATAACTATAGGTATATTTCTTTTTAAAATAGTTATATAACTTTTACTCGATAATTAAAGCTAACATCGAATTTAAAGCTTGATATCGACTTATAGTAAGTGAACTCATCGAAACTATAATTAAAAACTAATTAATCAACAAACTCTTATTAATATTACAAATTATTCTTTGAATCATCTAACAATAATAATTCTAAATATAAATTTTAGTGATACTATTCCTTTTTATGAGAAATAATACATATTACAGTATTATTAAATTTTACGATTCGATTTTTAATTGTCTCAATTATAAAATTAATGTTACATTAGATATATAAACCTTCTTATACACAAAATAAGACGTGGCATTAATTTTATTATAAAACATGTAAATCTAAATAGTAACGAACCAGGTGCACAAATAAATGAAACGGAAATTATAAAAATCGAAATAATAAGGAAAACAAATTTGTGCGGACTACAAGCAACATTTATTCATATACCGTTATTGTACAAAATTCTAATTTCTAAACGTAGCAAACATGGACGTGGAACTAACTAGCAAATGGACCTCCGTAATTTAGTATTGTCCATAATTGTGCATTTATTTTTACTATATTACGTATTTATATCACAAAGAAAGACTTTCAGCTTGTCGCTTCTAAACCATAAAGTCTAATGAAAACTCATTAACAGACTACAGAAGCACATTTTAAATATAACAAAGTAAAAACAAACATGTTTTCACGTAAAAATAATGATAAATTTCAAATTAAACTTGACCACGTATCAGAAAACACTACAGTTTGATAAATCTTTATTATTAATGTATACTTTTAATGTATATGAAAACACCTAATTTGTCTACATTAATATGAATTGTTTATTTTACAATTTATGATTACATTGTAAATATCAACTTATCATCTATTAGACGTTCAATGAAAATTATATTTTTGTTACATCTTTATTGGATCTGAGCGTTAGAATGCCTTTCTAAATATTTTTTTCTAAACGTTTCTACACCCTTTACTCTCAAAATTTCTAGTTTTTACATTATCACAGGCTTACGCTCTAACCCTGAGGGTCATTTTACATTGCACCTTTGTTTCACTGATACCTTCAACAGGAAGTCCATAATAGATTTTGAAACGAACTCGGTTCCACTTCCATTTAATTCTAAAACTTACATTTTACTTTTCTAGACTTTTACGAGGCTTTCAACCATATTATCACTCATCTTCAGAATCAAATCGTGAAATGTCCTAAGTCACTTTTTCATTATACTTAACATTAACATAAATATAAGACAAGTCAGTATATTAATTTCTCCACATAGTAATAAGGAAAAAAGTCGGGAATCACTCAGGGCACTACTTTAGGCCCATAGCTATAATCCGTCTTAGAAGAAATCCAGCAATTAGTTTTTCTTGTATGTTGAGTTAATTTCCAGAACTTTCTGAAAGTGCGGTGGTCATCTAGCAGTCATGCGGCCACCGCGAGGGGTGGCCGGCCACGGATCACATGACGCAACAGCTCTTCGCTCGGCCCTTCAGCTCGGCTTTCAGGTCGCGTTTGCTTTTGCTGCGTCCCACTTGCTTCTGTCAAAGAAAATAGTTTTAATGTCCTTACTAATAAATGTCAAAGCCAGTTGGTTTAGAAGCCAGTTAGTCTTATTTGTCATGAATGATGGCATAATTAATTATTATTTCAATATTAAATAAGGTTCAGATTGTTACTATGTGTTTGTACGTTAATAAAAAAATATTACGCCAATGAACAATCTCATTAATTAATTCCTTCATTTCTGTGAATAAATAAATTGATATCTTAAATTAAAGAATGATATTGAAATGAATATTTAATTAAATATCGACAGAAATTGGTTTTGTTTCGTCTAGGGTTTGAATAACTTTCTTTGTTTTGTTATCGAAAATTGACAGGTGAGTACAAAATAAACATTATTATTTTCATATAATGCACAATATAAAGGTTAAATTCTTAGTCAGAGCTTTAGTATATTATTTGTTTTAACGTATAATAATGTTAATTTCACCTAATGTTAACCTCATTCTCTACTACAGAATTAAAACAATCGCGTATATCAGGGGTGAGCAACCAAAAAGTGTTTAGGTTTTACACAAGGGGTCAATTAAAAATTTTAATATTTTAGGGGGGCCGCATATAATTTAATAATAATAAAAAAGGAATGACCAAAAATTTATTTATAATAAATATTAGAATAAAAATATATAAAATTAAATAAAAGGTTTTCTATACATATTTTAATGCAAACGTTCGTATTGTCATGTCATTGCATTCATTTACAAGTCGCCAATAAGTGAGTAACATGTCCCAAAAATTACTACCATTTTATTATAATTAATTTTATTAGATGGCAGAAAGTCGAAAATATAAATACTATTATAGAAATGCTTGGCGGGGCGCATAAACATATTTAAAGACCTCATCTTGTCATCCTCCACTGGTGCCCGGCAAGTGTGTACCATTAGCACAGGCGTGTGCACCATATCATTATCATTCATTATAAAAACATCTACTTAGTCTAGCAGATTAAATTGAAGTATTTTTTTATGAATGTAAAACAAACCTGCTGCTTCATTTGTTGTTTGTTCAATTTTCCCAATGCTGCTAGTGCAGCCACCTCAAAGGCATCTCGGACTCCTTTACTGGAGGCTCTCGCCGATGTTTCCACATATGTTGTTGCACCTAATTGTCTTGCTACGGATAGAGCCTGCAACAAACCATATATTTATTGAAGACTAGCTGGTACTTGCGACTTCGTACGAATTTAACTTTATTTTTTTTAAATAAAATAATTTTTCTACGCCTAAGCTTACTCCTTATTACATCAGCTACTTGCCAATATAAGTCCCGTCAAAAACGGTCCAGGTTTAGGAGATCTTTTGACTTCCGATGGTTGTGGGTTCAATTCCACGCACAGTATAATCATCTATATACATGTGTATTATGTATACATTTACAAAAAAAATGTAATTAAGTATTTTATCAGTTGTCTACTACACCCATAACTCAAACTCTGCTTAGCTTGGCGCTAGATAGCGCTGTGTGAATTGTCCTGAAGGAATTTTAGTATTTATATATTGTACTAGATATTAATTACCTTTATCAAATTCATCTGCACAAACCTTCACCCCATATTTTACTCCTTCTAGATATATTTTTGAGATAAAAGATAGCCCATTTTCGTTTTCATCATACCATTTATTTTCATAACTAATTTCAGTAAGATTTATTCGGCCGTGAAAAGGTAACAGAGACAGTAGGCAGACACACTTTCTCAGTATGGATTTTATCGAACTAGACTTTCTAAAGAGTCATTTGACCTCAGTCTCAACTATTTGAACCGTTTAGCAGCATGCTTTGCAAACTGTGTTTCGGTAGAAGGAATAAAACTGTGAATGGTATAATGGATATGGAGGATAGAGGCGAGACCTTATCGCAAAAGATAGGCAACGCATGAGTGGTATCACGAATGTCATAGATAAAGAGATGCGATTTAAAAGCTAAAAATACATTTTTAGCTTCTTAACCTCAATACTAAATAAATTTAGTTAATTAAAGCGCGCGAGATTGAAAAACGCGGGCCCACTCGAGTGGGCGACACTCGCTCGGTTCATTTCTGCCTTTATATACACATGAGTGGTAGAATAAAAAAATACGAGTTCAAAAGTATTTATATTATGTTTATTTGAACAAAGATTATTTTTATTTCTATTTCTGTTCCTTGTATGAAAGCTGTATTGCGCATGAAAACGGGAATTACGATGGACTGAGCCGGGTTTCGAACTCCTAGCAATGCTCAAATGACAGACTAAAGTGGTATCTGTCCATAAGCCCTTCCGTGGGTTTGGGGCGCCATTTACACTCACCCTTTATCGTCCGGTGAAGCTGTAAAGGCCATCTACGACCATCAGCCTGAAATAGTCCGAAAAGAACGAGTGGAAGACCGTATGTGCTAAAGCGGCATTAGAGTAGTCCGAAAAAAAAAAACGTATTAAAGATCTTACGTAGTAATAAAATACTAACCTCTTCACTGGTAACTGGATGCGTCTTGAGCTTCGAGAGTAGGGTGAGCGTTTCTTTCTCGTGCCTCAGATCTGCTTTGCAGCCGCACAGTAGCACCGGCACCGACCCGCCGTGTGTACGCACCTCTCTGTACCACTGCAAATAGATACATCGATATACTTTCATGACTGTTATCTCAGAGGTAGTCAGAGGCATAATCAATGCAATATTTATAGTCATGTTCACTAAAATGCAGACATGTGGCGGTGTGGTGTACCGAGTCATAGCGTTCTCTAATGCTACGTTTATATTCAGCCGCTACCCCTGCCACTCGCGCTGCCGGAAATATTGCCGGGCGACAACTGAGCGAGAGGGTATGAGGCGAATGTAAAAACACGCTGCCACTCGCGCTGCAGTCCTTTGACTCGCGCACGAAAAACCGACAATCGAGAGAGCGCCGGGCAGCGCCAATGGCATGGGAAGTGTTTCCACTCGTGTTTACACTCTTGCACTGCACTTCCGTGCTCACTTCCCTGCCCACTCGGGCTGAGTGTAAATTGGGCATAAAATATCGTCGAGTGCAGTGCTGATGCATCCGTTACACTCGTGAACGAGTGCTGCTTGGCTCTAATTACTACAACTGAATTAAATCTGATTTAGTTAACAAATTGATTCTCTATTTCATATTTTCATTCTAATGAATTAGTGCCAGTCGGTAGTTGGTATTTAAACACTTCAACTTAAAAATGCAAACTTACAACAGTTATTTAAAAGAGCAACATGCAAGTGTCTTGTTCATTCTTCCTGTGAAGAGTCGGCGTTCCGAATGAATGGTAGAATAAAAAATATGACTATTCAAAAGTCCTTATATTAAGTTTATTTCAATAAAGATTATTTCTATTCCTATTATTACCCACTGAAAAATATCTCAGTATGATTTTGCTGGCTGGTGTCTTGTCTTTGAATATTTTATTTAGTGGCTTTGATATGATTTGATGTTATGACGTAAGTCTGACGTACATCCTCTAAAATTTGAACATCCCCCTACAAATGTGCCAGGTCACGTTTTAATCTTGTTAAAATACTCGACATTATTTTGACTTTCTTTTGTTCCCCGACATCTTTTCAGTCGTCAGATATTCAGAGGAGAATTTTGTTAAAATGCTCGTGCATTAGATGTAAGGTAAAGAAAATATATTTTTATTTATATTAATTATTTAAATAGAGGTAAAGTAAACGAAAATAAAATACGACTTCGCCATCACAGTCTAGCGGTTTAGCGCTTTACTTTCCCTAGTGGCAGGTTCGATTCTCGCAATATATTAGTATTGAGTATGATTTTTTGTATTGGTCTGGTTATGTTCTATATGTAAAAATTTGTATTTCTATCAAGCTAGTACCTATAATACAAGTTCTGTTTTAGTTTGTTTTGTGCTTAGTTAGAAACTAGATAACGCTGTGTGACAGTTCACACTCTGTTTGTGTCAAAACAATAACAACCCTGTACAATGCCAGGGTTGTTACTGTATTTGTAACTAGCTGATACAAATACGGAGCTTGTGTTATGGGTACTAGACAACTGATAAAAATAATTAAATATTTTTTTTAACAACACATTAGTACATTATATGCCTACTACTTGTGTTTTTTTTTAATAATATTTATTCAAAAGAGCAACATGTAAGTTTTTTCCTCATTCTTCTTGTGATGAGTGCGTTTTCAATGAATAGTAGAATAAAAATATGACTACACAAAAGAGCTAAATATGTGCTCTTTTGTATAGTCATGTTTTTTATTCTACTGTTCATTGAAAACGCACTCATCACAAGAAGAATGAGCAAAAACCTTGCAAACGTCAATTTGAAAAAGATTATGTCTACTCACGAATACAAATATTTGCATCGTGTGAGAATGGAAAACGCGACCAATATAGTTGTTGTGTTAAACCGCTAGACTACCAGGAGATGCAAGATATGGTTTACCTTAGCCGCAGCGTTGTGTAACGAATCCGGTTCAGCTATATTGAAGCAGAGCATGAAGATCCTTGCGTCCTGGTAAGCAAGTGGGCGCACCGTGTCATACGCTGTAGTACCTGGAACAATTATTTAAACTAATTAGTCACATTTACTAAGACTAGTCGACCAGAGGTCGAAATGTGACCATAACTAATTTAACATTCAGTAGGACTATAGAGGAATACAACTGAAAATCAACTATAACTAATTTAATATCCATTAAGAGACTATAGACGAATACAACTGAAAATGTCAAAACGAGTTAATAAAATTCTATTCTTTTCTAAATAATATTAAACACAAACAATATTAAACTAAAAAAATCGTTACAATACAACTTTACTAATGTACAAACTAATAATTTAAAGTAATGAATTATAAGTTTTAATATTAGTAAGGTTTTATTGTCAAAGATTGTATTTGTGTACACATGATATATGTGGCAAATACATGGCAGTATGTGTAATGTTATTTTTATTGATTTAATGTATTTTTAATGCATCATTTTTAAAATATATTAGTATTCTGCATTCCGTCTAAATATAAACTATAACTATGCGAAATCTCATTGTTGAGGTTTTATGTACAATTTTTTTTATGACAATATTTTAAAAAGAGAGAATCTCGTATTTTTGTCATTAGATATTTAGATTTTTTTGCTATAACATATTTTTTCTAGTCAGCTTTTCTATTAGTATTTTCTTTTCCTAAAACAAGTCGTCCACTCCTCCGTCCGCGCAATTTTGTAAAAAGAGGTTCAAAGTACTTCACGTATTAATATAATGAATTGCTTTGAACATAATGAAAATAAGTTTAATGTAAAAAAAAAAATATTTTTACTTTTATAAACATATCACAGGCTTAATATGATACTGCCTTATAACCAAAATAATATATTTTGGACCTAAACTTTATATTAAAACATTACAGTAGAATTTCTAAAATTTGAAATTTTCGAGTTAATGCAATATTGTATTTTTTATTAGTTAAGGTATAATAGGCAGGTATAAAAATAGTTCTAGTTAGATAATAAAATAATTTATCGACACAATTTTATTATTATAATATATTTCTTTGTGAATTTCTAACATGATACTATTCTTCACTTATATAACAAAACAATCCGTAAAGAAAAAAAAGTATTGACTGCCGAAACCCGGGATTGAACCGGGGACCTTTAGATCTTCAGTCTAACGCTCTCCCAACTGAGCTATTTCGGCGGTAAAGAGCATGCTGAAATTAGTCAACACGTTCTTTAAACATTATCTTGTATGATAAAAATGTAATATGTCATGATAGTGGAATCTTCTATCTTAGCATAACTATACCAATACTATAATTGACAACTAAATCTATACTAAGAAAGAAAAAGAGAGAGAGAGAGAGTTGAAGGAGAGAGAGCGCAAAGACAACTCGATGTTTTGTCGAAATATTCTTTTGTTATTCATTGCCGCTGGCCTTTATAGCTCCACCGAACTATAAAGAGCGAGTACAGATGGCACTCCAAATACACGGAAGGACTTATAAAGCGGTAGAAGACCAACTCCTGCCTGAATACGACTTTAGTTTTACTTAGGGCACCGCTAGGGGTTCGGACCTCGGCTTAGGCCATTATAATTTCGATCTCCGTTTGAATTGGATAGGGATCGATCAGAAGGGATACTGATAAATATTGTAGAGCAATGGTTATCACTTAACCACTGTAGCGTTATATATAAAGCGATGTGATGTAGCTACTTAATATATTTCTTTACTGTAGTATCTAAGTAGTGAGTCTACAGGTGTAATAGTTATATTACAGTAGTAAATTTATTTGATAGTATACTACACGGCTTATTAGTAACGCGTAAATTCAACATAGAGTTGTAATGTGGACTTTACACTGAACTTAAATCGAAATTATGTAGAGTCTACACTCGGCACCCTACCATTAGTTTATACTAATGGAAGGGTGTCGAGTGTAGAAAGAAATATTACAAATATAGGCACAATATTTTAATTCTCTGTATTCTATATGTATAAACTATATATACATAGATATGTAGTTATGTATATGTGGCAGTAAGTAAAGGATAAAACCGTAATTTAATGTGTAGGTTGGCGTTAGCTGTTTAGACGATGCCAACACAATATTAATTTACATCGTTATGTACAATTATCGCTCAATTAATATTCTCAGAGGTCGATTTGTTTGTATATAGTATAGTGTTACCATAGAGTTCGCAATTTATAGAACATTTCGACCTAAATGTTATGATGTAACTGTTGCTTTAGAGGTTTTGGAGTCTTTTTGTTTGTCTGTACGTTTAAACACGATGTTAGAAACGGCTTTACGGATATGGGTGTTGTTTTCACTAATATAGTATAAATATCACAAATAAATCTGTTTTTTTTTGTTCAATGGTTAACACACAAAAAAGACTACTGCAGGAATGAAGTTAGTCTACAAATACAATATTACACGAATTATATATATAAATAAATAAAACTGAAGTGAAAAGTGTCTGTTTGTAAATTCAAATTAACTGCTTTCAATAGCACAAATGACTTTGTACAATTTTCTAACGTCAATTTAGTTATTTATCTATTAACTTACTACAAAGCGTACTTCAGTAAAAGTATATAAGTAAATTCTCACATAGCAAATAATTTACGGACAGCACAACAATATATTATTCACGGTAATAACGCTATTATAATTTACCACCTCCATACATTTGCCTCGTATATTTGACAATATAATATCCTAATAAACTCGACCTGAGAACAAAGGCCACGTAGGTGTAATTAGGGCCGTTCAATCCCTCACAGGAGAATGTAACGCACATTAGTGCTATCATAAGTCTCACGGTGTCTAATATTACTGAATATTAAATTAATTATGGTCGATTTTCGACCACTAGACGACCACTATTACGTTGATAATCGACCATAATTAATTTTTGTTTATATTTATATATCCTTTTTCTGACATTTCTCATTTATATTAGTGCACCACCAACAATCTTTCTCTGGTTACCACTCATGGTTGGCTGGTAGACAACGCCGCAAGGTATTAAGTCCGGCATATGTACACATTGTTTTTGTGCATTAAAGTTAAATAAATAAATACAAAAATTAAATAATATACATAGAAAACACCAAGACCGATACAAACAATCATATTTATGAATATATATGTTTGCACCATTTGGGAATCGAACCCGCGACCGTCGAAAGTAAACCGATGTGCTAAACCGCTAGACCACCGAGGTCGTCAGGTATATATAAAAATACAACTGATAATCAACCATAATTAATTTAACATTCAGTAAGACTATAGCTGAATGTAATTGAAAATCAGCGCTAGAAACAGTTTCCAGCTTTATGCTGAGTTGTGGTACACATTGACTCTGTTTTGTAATGTGTGTAAATTGTTGTTTGTGTTTTTTTATATCATTATTGTTGTGTCAACACGAGTTAATAATATTATATTATATTCTAAATAATATTAAAATAAACAATATTAATCTATTCTCAAATTGACCACAAACTAATAATAAACAAAAGATTATACATATATGCGTATGTTTCAAATAGAAGGTAGTGTGTGTCATATTTTTTATGTAAAATTAAAATTAAATATTAGCTTTTTGCATTCCTTATCTATATCTAAATATATATAACTCAAAGGTGACTGACGTAGTGATCTATCAACGCACAGCCCAAATCACTGGACCACTGGATCGGGCTGAAATTTAGGCATGCAGGCAGATGTTATGACGTAGGCATTCGCTAAGAAAGGATTTTGATTAATTTTACCCCCAAGGGGATAAAATAGAGGATGAAAGTTTGTATAAAACTTTGTCAATTTCAAACCGATCGGGCTGAGACTTGGCATGCATAAAGCTACTATGACGTAGGCATCCCCTAAGAAAGAATTTTGATAAATTCCACCCCTAAGGGGATGAATTAACGGGAGCGAAGCTGCGGGTAAAAGCTAGTAAACTATAAGTGTGCTAAATTTCATAGTCCTCCGTTCGCGCGATTTTCGTAATAAAGGGTACGAAGTTATTGGTTCATGTATTAATCTAATGATATATTAATAACTCAAGAGAATAATAGTTATTGCAATAATTTATATTATTGCAAACTCACATTTATATAATTTATCGTAATATTTTACTACCAACATAATGAGAGGCGTGGGCGTGAGAGAACTATTGTGCAAATGTTCGCCGTCAGGAGTAGGTACCAATTATAGGAAACTGAACTATAAGATGATGACAATAAAATTAAAAATTCATTACGAAATTTAGTTATAAAATATGTGGGGGTAAATACTAGAATGTTTATATAATTTACACATTTTTTATTGAGGCAGACCTTTATACATATCTGAGACTGCATGGGGTTTTTCAGAACGGTACATAAGGTTTCTTAAAACGGCAACGCGCATGTGACACCCCTGATGTTTAGGGTGTCTATATGCTATAGTATCACATGGGCCATATGCTTATTTGCCAACTTCGTAGTATAAAAAATATAGAAAGGTTAGTTGGTGCCTAGGCAGCTAATTACAGATAATTCCATTATCACCCTTGAAATATTATTATTAATGTAAAATATATATATTGCGGGAAGGGAAGTAAGAAACCCCATTCCTAGCAATGTACCATATGTCAAGTTGACCTCTACGCGGTTCCCCCTGAAGGCATCGTGATCAATTCCTGGTGAATTTGTTGGTCTATCTCTGACCTGACCTCATGCTCATCTTATCAGCCTCCACTGGTGCCCCGCCAGTTTAAAATGCACCCTCCGGTGCATCATACCTTATCATCCATAAACAAATATATATATACAAAACGTATGTAATTACATGGTAAATGGGTAACTCATTGGTTCCCATACAGGAGCAGAAATCATATTCACGCTGCACATTGGTCAGCTAAAACCACTGACCTGTTTGTTTGTACTAGCGTGAGTATTCTACACTTCGGGACAAAATAATGGTACACGTAATTTAGAGAATAATAATTCTGATATAATAATATAATTTGTCTTTAAAAGTTATTTTAGAGTAATTTAAAATTTTGAT